GCCAGTGGTGGTTGCCGCCACGTGCCACCGCCGGTCACCACTAGGGTGGCTGTGTGTGTGTTTAAATTAGTGTGTGTGGGTTATTTGAGTTTGAGCATTGTAAATTGTAACAGGAAAGTAGAATAATGGAAAGAAAGTCAAAACCACCACCGTGAGGTGGTGGCTGCCGCCACCGGCCGCCGTGTCGGGTGGTGGTGTGCCTTGTTTGGTTTGTGACTCGTTTGGATGTTTAGACAAAGGGACTAAAACCCTAATGGGCCTAATGAACCCTAATTGATCAAAATACCTAGCTATTGGGCCTATTGGGCTAAGATGGGATTGGAAACCCTAATTAAAGTTTAGAAAACCCTAATATTGGATTTATAGGCTTGGACTTATCGGGACCCACTTTTGGGCCATTGGAATGGAATTGTGTATTAAGCCCAATCACACCATATGACTTATCTAGTAGAGTAATGGACTTAATGGATTAAGTCCTTAATGGGTTAAGTGGGAAACACTTAACCTTAATTGTCATTTTATGTGAAACCCTAATTTGGGAATTTGATCGGGACCGCACTTGAATTATTCACTAAACTTAATATATTAATTAATAATCATTTGCAATCAACCTAAGTCAATATTGGAGTCAATGGATTAAGTCCTTAATGGGTTAAGTAGGAAAACTTAACCCTAATCATCATTTTATGTGAAAACCCTAATTTCACTTGGGCTTTGAGTTGGGCTTTGGTAATTGGATTATTAATGGGCCATCCAAGAATAATCATATAGACTAGAATATGTTGATGCGCTTAGGGTAAGGCCCATATGAGGGTTTGGGCCCAATTTGGAAAATTGGGCCATAGTTTGGGCCTTAATGATTATATGATATTGGGACATTGGAATGTCAAATGTTGGACCGGAATAAATGGTTGGGCCTTAGAGTGAGACCATGTAAAGGTTGGGGCCCAATTTGGAAAATTGGGCCATATGTTGGGCTTTGACTCATAGTTGACTGGTGGGCCTTTGGATTGGGCCTTGGGCTTGGATCAAGCTAGGATTGGGGTAAATCAGCCTTTTACCCCAAGCATGGATTTATGGTTATGTATTGGAACCCAATTATTAATTGGGTGATGTTTTGATATTGACAGTTCGGGAATCTGTCATCCAGCAGCTGGGATTGTGTCTACGGGACTTCAGCAGTGTGAGGTGAGTTACCTTCCAGTAGAAGTGGGTCTAAGGCCACAATGTCGGCCCACTAGTAGGAGTTGTTTGTTAGATAATTGTCTGGTTAGCCACTATCTGATATGTTTTATGTGCTAGCATGATATGATGTTATGTGATAGTGGTAGTAGGGGGAATAGTCCCCGGTTACCGGTCGATAGGGCCGAAGGGGTAGTTTAGTACCCAGCTATGCTAGACAGATTATGATATATATGATATGTTATTATATGGTAGTGGTAGGGGTGAAATAGACCCCGTAACCGGTTGAGATACACCGGAGGGTAGGTCGGGCACCCAGATATGCCTGATATGAGGTAGGTCGGGCACCCCGGTATGCCTGACAGTGGGGTAGGTTAAGCACCCCGGTATGCTCAGCAGGGTAGGTTAGGCACCCCAGAGTTGCCTGGCAGTATGTTATTGTATGGTTTGTGGTATGATGGGGGAACTCACTAAGCTCCGTGCTTACGGTTTACAGTTTTGGTTTCAGGTACATTGTTTTCAAAGGAAAGGAGTCGGCTCGATCGTAGCGCATCACACTATGTTTTCCGCACATGAGATCCTTGGGATTATACTCTGATATTATGTTATGATGATATGCTTGATTATTTACACACTGGTTTTGACATGAGTTAATATTATGGATGCTTTTGTACTATTGGTTTATATAATAACTTAATGAAAAATGAAATTTTTGGTCTTGAATTTTGGGATGTTACATCTTTTTTATATCTCAAAGTTTGGCTAAAGTTGAAGGATTCCCCAAAAGTAGAAAGACTAGTTTAAAAAATAAACTAGGATTATAGGTAGTTTATTATGTTTCAAATTTTTTTGTTTTCTTGCATTTTATTTTAAATTGTTTTTTTTTAATTAATGTCGCGTCTTTTTTATTGAATGAAAAATAGTTTTAAAAGAAATATATGTTTTATTGTACTTCTGATTTAAATTTAATTAAAAAAATGATATAGAGTGGTGTTTTAGTGGTAGGTATATCATATGTTTAGTGGTTGGTTGTGGTGATGAGATGACATCTGTAATATCCCGATGTTTATGTAATTTCAATTTTAGCCCTATGTATGGATAAACATTTCATTCTAGTCCTTGTGCATGAGAAAGGGTGCAAAATGGCCCAAAGTGGCATTTTGGTAAATTCTAGCCAGAATTTAGTATGCTTTAGTATGTTGGGCGTACTCTTCGTACGCATGACGTACATGCGAGAGACCTAGTACGTTGGGCATACTCTTCGTACGCAAGGCGTACGTGTGAGGGTTCCAAACCCTAAATTTTAGGGTTTTCACGTTATTTAAACAAAACTTTATGGCCCAAGACCTTCACCCTAATTAGCCTTCAACTGAGAATTCGACCCTCTAGCAAACCCTAAGTGAGAAGAGTGCTTTTGAGCTCATTTGTGTGCTTTGTTGGTGTTCTTGAAGAAGAAGAAGTCGGTGCAAGGACCTTGAAGCTTGGAAGCAACTTACATCTGGGATTCCCTACTTGTTGTAACTTCCAAGAGGTAAAAAGTTCATAACTTGATCACTCTATCTTGTAGATCTAGTCATTTCTTCATTTAGGGCATTTTTGGTCCCAAATATGGTGATTCTTGAGCATGACATGCTCTTGACCAAATAAGTCATCCTTTCAGACCTTATGAGGGGTCTTGAGTCATAAAAATGTGGTCTTGATGCTTAGTTTCACTCTATGCATGCTATAGAAGGTCTTAAGGCATTAAGATGTTGAGATTTTGTGTATTAAGCACTTAATGGACATGCAAAGTCATAAAGTTGAAAATTTTATGACTCTTGATGGTATTTTGGCCTTGGATCTGCAATTAGACGTGTTAAGTCGGAGAAATAAGGTCTTAATAGGTTAAGAAGTGAACTGTTGCGTACGCTGAGCGTACCGAAGGGTATGCTACGCGTACGCAGATCTGGCTCCGATGCCTCGGACAGCTTGTACGCCTTGCATACCTCCAGAGTACACCCCGCGTACGAAACCTGAGTCGACTCGGCTGAGTTAACTCGGTTGTGTTGACTCAGTTGACTTGTTAATTTTGACCAGTTTGACCAAGGGTATTTTGGGAAAATGTTATTAATCTAGAATGGGTAATGTTTTGACATTTAGGATTTGGGTTGAGCCGGTATTTGGGAGCAAAGTATTGATCACCTATTCGTCAGACTGTGAGGTGAGTTTTCCTCACCATACTTACGAGTCGAAGGCACCAAGGCCGGCCCATTTGATTGACATCTTGGTTTACCATATGTTGCTATGTTGTTGTGATCTGTTAGATCTGTATCCTGGTATATAGGATGTTGCTATGCTATGGTGATCTGTTAGATCTATGTGACTACTTTGTATATGCTAGCTATTGATTGTTATGATATATGTTGATATGTGATGGTATATTGAGTTGAGGCTATCCTGCTTTGTGCTGAAAGCCAAGATACCCAGGGCGGTCCGGATAAACTAAAGGCCTGCGAGGCGGACCAGTCAGGTCGAAGGCCCAAAGAGCGGTCCAGATAGGCTGAAGGCCCAGTGAGGCGGTCCACTCATGTTGAAGGCTATATATGCATGTTGTTATTTGTTATGTTTACGTGGTGGTACTTTGGGGGAACTCACTAAGTGTTGGCTTACAGTTTTAGTTTTGTTTCAGGTACTTCTGAGGACCGTGGCAAGGCGAAGGCGTGACAGTACACATCCTTGGTTTTATGTTGATTGGATCTTGAGAGACTATGATTTTAAATAATGTTTAGAAACAATGATTTTGTAAACACTTCTTGTGGTAAATGGGTTGTTTTGATAAGTTAAAATTTGTTGTGATTTTTGAGATGTTACAACATTCATCACATTAGTGGTTAGACCACTCGGAATACCGAGGACGAACCGACTCGTGGTCTACGTGGCCACGAGCGTTTTCTGTGCACACTACCCTGACCATTCGTGGCCGGGCGTTTTCATGGAGAATCGTTGTGACGACGACAAGAAGCAACGCCCAATCGGTGCTTCTCGACAATTTTCAAACTTCGACTAGCCGTTGAACGACCAGTTTTCAAAAAAAAAAAAATTACCAACCATTTTACCTATACATATCATACCATACAACCTCATTTTTACACCATTATTCTCTTTCTCTATTAAGCAATTACACACAACTTTCTTTACAACCAAAAACCATGGATCCCAATCAAAATACCCCCTCCCCCCCCCCCCCCCCCACACACACACACACACACACACACAAAAATCTATCGAAACTGCAAACCCGATAATGCTTTTGCGTTAGATACAACTCCCCATCAATTCCCGACCATGGAATCACCTTAAGGTGGTTTTGTAAATTTGCTCCAAACCGCTTCCCCTGTCCAACAAGCACACCACTTTTTCAACAATTCCAAGTTTTCCTGCCGTATCAACAACAATTTCAACACGGTTTCGTTTACCATCAATCTTTCGAACCACAACCACAACAATCACAACCACCACCTTCACAACCCCTTCTTTGGCTTCCCAAGACCCCAATTGAATAAAATAAAATCATATAAAGCGTATAATGATCGTTCCATATATACTTAGCCCTTGTCTTCTAACAATGTTAGCATAGACTCCGGTGCGAGTTTTTGAAACCACAAGAATCATCGGTGTAAAATATTCCCATAAGCACTAGTCATGGTGCTTTTTGGCTTTTGTCAACCACAATGACCATTTGTATATTTTTATCTTTTTTTAATTATAACACATTGTGTACATACATGTGTATATATGTAATAATAGTAATTCAAGATGAGAAAGAAGCACCAATGATTGGAGAAGATCACTAATCTATAAAAACTAATGTGTTAACAAATCGAAAACATAATGGTACAACATTAACTTTAACACCAAAATAAAATCAAAACAAAAATGATACAGTTTAAACATCACTCGTTCTTCTTCCCCCTTTGCAACATCGATTGGACATTTCCACTATAAGGCTCAAAATGAAACGCGTATTGTTGAATAACCGAAAATCCAACCATTTCAACACACACCAAAACATTTTGAATAGCTTCTTCAATATGCTCAACGTCTAACCAATAATGATGTGATTTTATTACACCCGTTTTCACTAGGATTTCGAGCAATACTCCCTGAATAAAGTTGTACATGATTAATAACAACCTACTTTCATTTATTTATTTATTTATTTATTTATTATAGCATCTTACTTTCGTTTCTTTCTGTTATAACCTCGTATTTTCACACTTTTTTTTTCTTATTAAGACATTGTTTTTTGAAATACCTACTCATTATAGCAATACTCCTTTAATGAAGAAATAACAATGTACTTTCATTTTTTTTGTTATGGCATTGTACTTTCATTTCAGTCTATTAATTTTAGAGCATGGTACATTTAAATTCTCTTCGTGCATTTAACCCTAAAAAGTGCAATGATGTAAAGAAGAAATGAAAATAGGATGCTATAATACACAAATCAATGAAAATGCATTGCTATTTCATGTATTTAACCCAAAGAAAATAGGGCTAAAAGGCCAAAAATAGCAACATACTTTCATTTATTTGTTTGTTATAGCATCTTACTTTCATTTATTTTTGTTAAGCATTCTACTTTCATTTTTTTCTCTTAATAAGAGATTGTACTTTGATTCTTTAAAAAATATATATATACCCAATAATACCAATGTTAACCAAATACAAAACATTGTACTTGCAATCTTTTTCTTATTATAGCAGTAGAAATTGTTTTCTATTCGAATATAATTGGGTAAATTTTTTATTAGAAGAAATGAAAGTATGATGATGTTATAATAAACAAAGCAATTAAACTATTAAAGTACATTGCTATTTCTTGCAATTTGGTGTTAAAGAAAGTAAAAAGTTTACCTGCCAAAAGCAAAAGAAGACAATTCCTTTGACGCATAAAAACTTAGCGAGTGGTTTGTGTGGCTCCAATTCCTTTGCGAAAACATGGTAAAAGACAACTAAAGAATACATAGCCACATAAAAGGAAACATTGAGAATAATGGTGAACGTCCAGCTTAGCCAACTCGGATACATTCCAAGTAACTGCAAACCGATCATTAGAAATGAACATGTGGGCCGTGTGATCACAAATTGCCAAGTCCACTGCTTTAGAAGTTTTAGGGTTTGGTGATTCAGACGAGTTGTACGTGGCTACACAACAAAAATTAAATCATGTTTAATAAAAGAGTAAATTACACGAATGGTCCCTATGGTTTAGGGTAATATGCACGTTTGGTCCCTAATTTATTTTTTTAACTCGGAAAGTCCCTACTGTTTGTTTTTGTTACACGCTTGGTCCCTGTCTTATCTAAAAAGACTATTTTGCCCTTGATTTTTTAATTTATTTAAATAAATACACCCCCAACCCCACCCCACCCCACCCCCTCACCTTACCTACCCCACCGTTTTTCCCTATTTAAATAATAGTATTTTTAGGTAAGACAGGGACCAAGAGCGTAACAAAAACAAACAGTGGGGACCAAACACGTAACAAAAACAAATAGTAGGGACCTCCCGAGTTAAACAAATAAGTTAGGGACCAAACGCGCAAATTATCCCAAACCATAGGGACCATTCGTGTAATTTACTCTTAATAAAAGCATATAGAAGATATGGAAAGAAAAAACTAAAGGGTTAATTACAAACTTAATCTCATAAAAGACCATAAAAGACCTTATATTTTGTGTTTTTTTCTAGATTAAACCTCCACTTTATTTTTATTTTTTTTTCATGAAAAAGACCTATTTTTTCATTTTTTTCGATCTGGCGTGGTCGTTTTAGTCGATTTTTTTCCGAAAAAACTTGTAAAGTGTGACGGTTTTTTCGGAAAAAAACACAAAGTTGAGGGTTTTTTTGGAAAAAATGAAAAAATACAGGAAAAAAAAATAAAGTTGAGGTTTAATCCGGGAAAAGCACAAAATATAAGGTATTTGATGAGATTAACCCTTGATTACATAATCGACCCTATATATTGGGTTTTTTTCCCGATTAAATCTCAACTTTATTTTTTTTTTTCTGAAAAGGCCCTTACATTTTTACATTATTTTCGATTTGACCGTTTCAGCAGTTTACCCGTAATCTTCCGGTTTTATACAAAGATGTAAGGGCTTTTTTAGAAAAAAGATAAAATAAAAATGGAACAATGAAAGGACCAAATCGAAAAAATAGAAAAATGTAAGGGCTTTTTTTTAAATAAATAAATTTGAGGTTTAATCCGAAAAAAAAAAAACAATATATAGGGTCTTTTATGTAATAAACCCAAAACTAAATCAATGAAAATTTGTAAAAAGTTAGTATGTAAAGGGATCATGTTAAGTTGTTCTTTTTGCATCAAGTAAAAGGAAAAACACCTTTTTTTTGTTATTAAGTTTTGTCTAGATAAATGATGTTTGTAAGATATTTAAGAAAATGATGGCACATTTAGAAAATGAAAATTGAAAGAAAAAAAATATACGATGGCAAATTTGTAAAAAAGTCTTTCTTTCCCTGATTATATATGTTAAGCCTTCTTTCTTCATCAAATCAAAGGGAAACTCTCATATATAGCTTATTGGAGTAAGTCATCTCTCCATTGAGTCCATTAAGTCAAAAGAAAATAAGTCAATAACACCTTAATATGTAATAACTAATATCTACATTAACATTTGTGGTTAGACACTAAATTGCAATAAAAACATAATAGAACAATCATTTTGAGTCAAAAATAGTAACACTTAGCTTCAAGATTGTAATAAATTGCTTCAAATAACTATGGACTTCTATATTAATTCGTAATTTGTGAAATGAATTGTCTTGGAATAAAAGATATCCAAGTACAATTTGCATTTATTCACAAAATAAATGTAAAATAACTCGTCCTTATGAATCGTGTTGGTATTTTGGTCTTTTATAAGAACGATTGTTTTTTGCAACAAAAAGCCAAAAGTTTATTAGTCTTCTGTCTTCTTTATATTATGAGAACAATGATAAGATGCCTAAGAAGAACATAATGGAAATGGAAATGGAATTGGAATTGGATTGGGCAATTTTATGCAACAAGAAGCAGTGACAAAAGCATATGATACTAAATGTAATGAAATTAATAAGGAAAAAAGAAGAACTCACTTGGAATAGAGTCATTGGGAAAGAATGGTGAATTTCTCTTCCCTTAATTTCATCAGGAACTATATTTTTGCTAATGGAGATATTCAAGTAACTATAAAGTAAACTCAGAAACGTAGCAATGGCCTGCAATTAAAAATCCAATAACTTTCTTTCAGAAATTCAGAATTGTGGTAAAAGAATAAAAATCTATCAAACATTGAATTTCAAGGATTCCAATGGAATTGAACTCCATCCATTTGGCAACCAAACACACCCTAAAGTCAAAGGATTAAAAGAAAAAAATGAAATAAATAAATTCCACATACCAAAGCCTCGTAGCATTCCTTAACAGAGTCCAAAAGCATAAAAAATGGTTTGCTTCCTTTGACATCAAGCACACCCACAAAAGAGTTAACAGCATAAACAGGAGCCATGAGAATGATGATGATTATGGCTTTTTGTTCCTTTGGGTTTTTCCAGTAATAAAGATGCTGTGAAGCAAGTTGAAATGTGAAGTGCAGTGAAAGCATAGTGCAACCACCAGCTCCCAATAGTGTAAGCTCTTCACGATTGAACTTACTTAAATCCATGATTCACTATTTACCTGCACAAAAGAGTTGATAAAACTTCTCAAAACCATATGTCCCAAAGATGCTTAATTCAACTCTACTACTAATCTCCTATATAGAGCTTATTGTTTGAATATCTAATACTCCCTTCAACAATGACAAATAGAGAAATTTTTAGTCATCAAAATCAGTATCATCAGATGGCTGTAACTATCACCAGGAAAATAAGCGATTTTAGCTTGAAAATTTGGCAACGACTGTTACTAAAATTAAAATCGTACCGATTTTCAATACTTGTGACAAATTATGGCAAGTGAAAACATGCTATTGTTGCCAATACAGATTTGCTACGGCTGAAATAGACAAAGATAAACTCACAGTTCGATTTTGAGTAAACAACTGAAATTAATCCTAGATACACATATTGACGAAGCAATTATCATCTAATCGAAGGCAAGAATTTCCTAGGGCTAAAACCAAGAATTTCCTAGGGCTAAAACGAGACTAAAATCAGAAAAGTCAACGGTAGAAAGTAGAGCAATATTATGGACACCTAGTATACATGATGAAAGAAGAGCAGAGATTCTTACGGATTTCAAAGATTAGGAGATCCAATCGATGGAGATCAAAAGCGATATATGATGCAAAGGAGAATTTGAAGGAGTTGATTCTACTAGTGTGTGCGTGGAAGACTCGAAAAAGTCGTCAACTATGAATCTATGACCAAAGTCGCCTTCATTTTAATTTTAATGTTTATCGTTTCATATATATTTTTTTTTATATTAAGGATTAGGGATATCAAATAAAATCTAAGAGAAAATTATAAAATTAGCTATTTTAGTTATTTACTTTGTACAAAATAGCTAAAAAAAATCCAAAATATAAAAATAGTCATCAAAATCGCAGATAGAGTAAGCCCGTTGACGATTTTCCCATACGATATACGATAGTACAAATCGCTAAAGCATGAATACGCTTTAGGAGTTGTACGTTCGCTGGTGGGTTTTTTCTTTAGTTTTTTTCATTTTTTTCCTGTATAAATATCTTCACCCTCACACTAATATCGCAGATGAACTAAGTTCATCTGCGATTTTCTCTGTCATCCATCTGCGATTTTGCACAATTTAATTTTTTTTTAACTACGAAATTGATAGGATTTGACTATGAAACAACCATATTATATATAAAGTTTTGCAAAAAATTATCACTTAAGTTGTTATTTTTTTGGACAATTTGTTTAAAACATCTCTAATAAAATGAATGAATATTTGGTTGAATATTTGGTTTGCGTTGTAACTGATGGGAGGTGGGAAATTGTGGAAACAAATCTTGAAAATGTATGTCCACAGGGAGGTATTTTTGAATTAGCTTTGATATTTTCTGAGTATATTAGTTATAGTGATTTTATATCTTTGGTGAAATGAAAATCGGTTAGTTAGACAGATATAAAATTAGTCTTCATTTTCATCATCCTGAATTGAATCATTATATAGCCATAGTTGAAGACATGGATGTTAGAATGTTGATCAACGTAATCAATTCCGTTGGAGGAAGGGTTGTGAAAGTCTTTTTGGTGGTTGATGAAGGTGATGCGGTTACGGAAGGTTGCGAGAGTGGAAATGAGTCGGTTGCTAACTTATGTAGGGATAAAGGGAGCAACAATCCAATAGATACTTTCATGATTCCTAGTGTACCTCAGTTTCATAGTGTTACTAAAAATATTAATGTGAGGTATTCACCTATTCACTATGTGGATCCTGAAAATTACAAGTACGTTGGTGATGATGATGTTGTTACATATCTTAATGATGTGGGTGGTTGTTATGTTGACGTTCCCCAACAAGAAGTTAAAGTTATGAATATGGGTGGAGTAGATAATAGTAAAAAGAAAAAAGTTATGATTCAGAAAGATGAAAATGTACATGGTTACGTGGATTTTGTTGATGTTGCTGATGTAGCTTTAGATATAACCGACTTAGAAAACAATTCTGATGGAGATAAGTTAGGTGATGAACGTAAAGCTAAGTTTCCCAATAACCTTTTTCATGGTATGCCCCATCTACCAGCATGTCCAGTTGATGTTAATGAAAATATCTCATCATAGATGGTAGACGTCAATCAAAAGAAAAAAGACCTTCTAAAACGGGCGATTGAAAAAAAAAATGTTTCTAGAAGGTTGTCAGACGAAGACAAGTAGATCAACCAAATCAAGGTATGAGGTCATGTGTGTTGGGAAAAATTGTTCTTGGTTACTAAGAGCAAAAGGAATTAAAAATTATGACGGACTTTTCCAATTGAATAAAATTGTTGACGTACACACATGTTCTTCAACAATGTTGCAACCTAATCATCGACAAGCAAACAAACAAGTTTTGGGTGAATATCTTGTTGATGTTTTGGCTGAATATTATAGTAGAATATATCGGGGACAAAATATTATTAATGATATGAATGCTCAATTGAAAATCGGTATCTCATACCATCAGGTTTGGCGTGCGAAGCAATATGCACTGTTGTTGTTAAAGGGTACGAAAGATGATTCTTTTACTAAACTTTCGGCTTATTTCCACAATTTGGTCAAACATAATCCCGACACAGTGACACATATTCAAACAGATGGTGATGATCGGTTTGAGTTCTTATATGTCACACTCAGTTGCTCGGTTAGTATTACTATATTTTATTATTATTATTTTTATTTTGGTGTACTTATACTATAATAAGTATATTTGAATAGATATACATTGTATTGTAGGTACGCTCTTTTGTCAATTGTTGTAAGCCGACCCTTGTATTAGACGGAGCCCACCTAAATGGAGAGTTCAAAGGTACCATGTTACTTGCAGTTACTAAGGACTAACAAAATCAAATATTGGTTGCATATGGTATATGCAAAAATGAGTGTACAGATTCTTGGACATGGTTTTTTAAAAAACTACGTGATTGCATAGGCAACATGGAGGATCTTACAATTATATTTGATAGATCTCCATCTATAGCAACATCTGTTGCCAACATTTTTCCTCACGCTCATCACGGAATATGTGGTGTCCATTTGTATTTTAACATAGTAGCTAGATACGGGAAGAGTAAGATAGCTAAAGGAATTTTTTTGGGAGGCTTTTAGAGCCTATACAGTTGATGGTTTTAATTCTGCCATGGACCTTATGAAAAAAGACAAAAGAACCAGTATGGGAATACTTACAAAGTATAAATCCTGAAACTTGGTCTAGGGCACATTTTAGATACAACCGAGACAATCTTATGTCGTCCAACAGTACGGAGTCTATAAATGCATTATCTAGACATGCATGTAAGGTGTCGATACTGATGTTGATGGACTTTTTTGTGCAACAATGCAACAGTGGTGGTTTCAAAGATGTAACTTTGCAGGTACTAAGTTGTAATATTAATGTTTGTTTTAAATGTTATTAATCTTAACTATGTAATTTTCTCTATTTTTTAGCGGAAACAACATCAACAATCACCCCTTGGGGCGATGATATTGTAAAACAAAATAAAAATACTTTTAGTAATTGGGATGTTCTCATGATCTCAAGTAAGAAATGTGAGGTCAAAAAAGGGAGACAAAACGTCATTGTTGATTTCTAACAAATGACATGTACATGTAGGCATTGACAACTTGACGACATACCTTGTGGTCATGTCATTAGAGTGCTAACAATCAACAATTACCAAGAATGCTCGATGTATGCATTAAAAGCTTACCATACTGAAACATTGAGGAAAACATATGAGGAATCAGTAAACCCTTTACCAAAGCCATCCGAATACCAGATCCTCGATGGTTTGATGACTGTTAGGCTACCTATAATGGATAAACGTCAGCCAGGCAGGCCAAGAAACACATAACGCATTCCATCCCAAGGCGAGAGTACAATAAGAAAAGAGTGTTCTACATGCGGTCAAGCAGGACACACGAGAAACAATTGTTCTGGAATGACGTTTGATAGTGGAGCAAGTCGCACGAGAATTCCTACTATGGAGACAACAATTAATATTGGGGCTTCTGCGAGTTGTTCACAGAGCTATAACACCAATTATGATTTAAAACTACCTTAAATTGAAGAGTTGTTAATTCATTATGTATTATAATGTTTTTATTAATTTTCTAAGATGTTGTTCTTATGCTTTTATATTGTAATTTAGTTTGAACATCATAAGAGAAAATGAAGTTTTTATACTTGATTTTTAAAAATACATGGAAATTAACGGTAAACAAACATATTAATCTAAAAAAAAAATACATATAGCAAACCCAAAACATGATAATCTTACAACAATTTTTTAACTAATTATTAACCTCAGGGAACTACAATGGGTACTTCTCTTTCTCGATTGTTATATACTCATCCCTAATACTCATTTTATCTTCAAAACGATCCTTTTGCACCCTAAGATGTATCATCTCCGCGTCCTTGTCAGCAAGCCATTTTTCAGTAATTTTGATAGTCTTCTTATTCTTTTTGATCCATTCTTCATGCTCTTTGGTTTTCTTTTTATTAATCTCTATCAATTCCTGAGCTTGTTTGCATTTCGATGCAATAACTTTACGACGTTCACTGAGAAGCCTTGACGACTCTTTATCATGTTTTTGTTGTTCTTCATCCCTTTTCAATTCTTGAAAAGTTTCATTCGACATATATGGGCCTTCCGAAGAGGATGTAACAAAGGGGTCGAATGGATCACAGTAGTAACAATCTACTTCGTCGCATGAGAAAATTTCGAACTTTGAGGATAAACTCATAATAAAGTTGAGATTATATAGTATTTTTAATAAGAAAATGATCGTATATGTCGTTTTTATACATCCTAGTAATCTGCAAATCATAGTCCAAAGAAAATCATTTCGAAGTCATTGTTGAAAATTCATAGATGATTGTTTGACATGACATGTCACTGTAGTAACCTGCAAATCGTAGTCAAAGTTGGAAATGACTACACATAGATGACTATTTGACATGATAAGTAGTATACAAAGATTCCACTAAATTGGTCAAGTCATTTTTAACTCCTTTTTTTAATATAAATATATGTTTAATCTATACGAAACGAACACCCATATTTAGAAATGTCGTTCAATGTAGCAACTTATTTGAATGCAGTAGCTGCTTCCAATTCTCCACGACCATGGATGACAAGCGAGGTGTTGGTTGTAACACGACGTTGGATTAGCGTTCAGGAAGGTGTAACGCCACTGGCTCCCCCGCATTGCCTGGTCGGTGATGAATGGACCCGCATAACAATTTTGTTCAACCATGAGATGGGAAAAGGACAACAACGACTACAATCAGATATTGTCAGTAAATGGATAGATGTAAAGGGAGAAGTCGTATGGTTCAATTGATGATATAATTATGTTAAAAATACCAAAACTTGTTATGGGGACGCCGAAGAGCTTTTGGAAATTGTTAAAGATTTTTACATTTTGGAGCATGAAGGCAGTGACTTCGAGTATGAGGACGTTTGAAATATGATTAAAAATAATTAGTATTTCATGTAGACGGATGTGTTATTATGCAAATTTCATATTTGCAATTTTTATGCATTGTTTTATGTGTAATGCTTCATGGAATTGTTATTTGTAAGGTTTTATGATTAATGTTTTATGTATTGTTTTATGTGTAATCGAGTATTAGGACATTTGAAATCTCGTTTAACATAACCCAACTTTTTTCATAAATAACATAAAACATACGAGGTACATCTAATACAGACGAAATACATATAAATAACCTAGTACAAACCCAATAGAAAGAAATATATATTAAATAAACGAGACATATTTCAAAATATTTCAAGGGGCTTCATAGTGGAATTCCAACCCGTCACTTATTGATTTGTATTCCTCTTTAGCAGCTTCCAAGATGACATCCTTAGCAACGTTTAAACGGGCGTCGTTAATTTTGGTATAAAGATCGTTGAATAATAGAATTTATGTTTTCATTTCATACCATTTTGCTATGATATCTAGGTAGTCACGATGGTTTTCTACAGTCGTTCGAGTTTCAGCGTTGAAGATATAGGTTAAATGAGTCCAAAACATTAGATCATTCAACTTGCTGGTCTCGTACACATGAATATATACACGACTTAGAACCACGTACTCATCAGCGGTCCATGGTTTTGAAGTCATTTTGAGCTAAATAAAGAGAGTGAATTTTTAAAAGTAATATATGAAGAACACTCTTTGGACTTACATACACATTCAAATACATACACATACATATATGTACTTACACATTCAAATACTTACACACATACACATACACATAAGCATACACATACACATTCAAATACACACATATACATACACACATACAAATACACACATATATATATACACACACACACACACATACACATACAAATACATATACATACACACACACATACACGATACATATACATACACACACATACACGTAAATAAACATACATACACATACATACATACATACATACATACATACATACATACAACATACATAAATATACATATTTCCCTTTATTATCATCATTTTTCATTATTTATAAATTAAACATAGATTATTTTACTTTATTGATGTGTTAAACGTAGTTTTTTTCGTTTAAATCGTTTGTTTGTGTGTTAAACACATTCGTTACAATTATAATATATTATTATGATGTTTATAAATATTATTATTAATAGTACTATTAGTATAAGCATACACATACACATTCAAATACATACACACATACACATACATATACATACACACACACACACACATATATATATATATATATATATATATATATATATATATATATATATATATATATATTTATATACACACACACATACACATACAAATACATATACATACACATACACGATACATATACATACGCACACACATACACGTACATAAACATACATACACATACATACATACATACACATATAAATATACATATTTCCCTTTATTATCATTATTTATAAATTAAACATAAATTATTTTACTTTATTGATGTGTTAAACGTAGTTTTTTTTCGTTTAATCGTTTGTTTGTGTGTTAAACACATTCGTTACAATTATAATATATTATTATGATGTTTATAAATATTATTATTAATAGTACTATTAGTATCATTTTTAATTGTTCGTGTCCTAAATATGTAAGAAAAATAATCAAAAAAAAATTTAAGACTCAAATAATGAAAAATAATAATAATGGGAGCAATAATAATAATAATAATAATAATAATAATAATGGGAATTATAAATCCGTCGGTATTTCGTAGCTATTCTGTAGCCATTTTCTTCAGTCGATAGTCCGTCGCTATTCCGTAATTATTCCGTTAGGCATCCCATTTAGCTACGGAAATTTTCCGTAGCAATTTTCTATAGGAAAACCCCATGTCTTCTTGTAGTGTGAAGCCAATACGTATCCTTTATAGGGCTTTCAAATTTTGGATTTCCAATCAAGGAGGAGAGCGTTGAGTGATATATGCATTTTGTCGAGATTTAGGAACGAAGAACAACTACGTGATTGAATCGGTAGAAATAAAAAAATAGAAACCTCCAAATTTTATAGGAGTGAATTTAATTTGATTCCAAAAGAAAACCGTATAGATAAGAAATAGAAGGGCAAAAAGGTAATTGGATTCAGGAATTCATTTAGCTTTGGAGAAGCCACCTGTACAAAATTGATTCTTTTATTCCTATCCAAACACTATAAAACCCTAGTTACTCTCTAGTCTCTTCTTTGCCATTTGACGTCGGTAGTTCCCAGACCCATTCGCCTCGTGTATTGCGATGAGACAGGGAGGTTCCGTATGGATAGAGAAGCTATTTCGAACCTTCAGCATGTTAAAGGACCCATCGGAGTGGTTTCAGTTTGTGGTCCAGCTCAGCATGGCAAGAGTTATATCTCAAATCAGGTACTTTTAGATTTTTTTTTTAAAGTACCTGATGCTTTTTATGTGGTATTTAATTGGTTTGCAATTTTGAGATTAGGGTTTTTGAGTCATTATCAAGAAATGAGTAATTGTACAATGATTTGATTATGCATGAAGCTACGGTTGAAGCATGATAGTAGACTCATAGGTGTTCACAAAGTTTGTAGGTTACAGAATTATATGAATCCATATCAACCTTCATTGTTTGCTAGTTAATTTTTTTTCACCTTGTTTGCATCAGGAACCACAACAAAAAACCTAGCCTTTAGCGGCGACAAAAGTCGTCGCAATTGATTCCACCTGTCGTCGCTAATACTTTTAGCGACGACATGTCGTCTCTAAAGCGTCGTCACAATTAACTCGTAGCTAATAGTCGTTTGTCGCCGCAAATGTCGTCGCCTCTAATACATGACGTCTCTAATACTCCTGTGTCGTCTCTAATGCTGTCGTCTCTATTTATATTCCGATGACCGGACAGAGTTTTTCTGGCAAAGCTTGCCGGAGTTATGTGTCATCGCAATTAGTCCACGTTGTCCCTAAAGGTGTCACTGCTAATGTTTTTTTTTTTTTTTTTTTTTATTTTTTTTTTTGAGAAAAAACTTATTTTTTATGATATTATAGATTTGATAAAAATAGATAAATAAATACATACCACATTACATAAAACATCAAACATACAATATTACATATCTAATAAATCCTACATAAACATCTAATATATAATCCATAAATCCAAAATAACATCATCCATAACATAAAACAAGAAATACTATGTTTCTTCGTCTTCGTCTTCGTCTTCCCCATCATTGTTTTCCTCGTTGTTGACTTGGTTTTTAAAGGAGCGGATAATGTCTCCAATGGCCGTCATAAATGCCGGGTTTTGAAGAAAACTTTCACATCAACATCCTACAATTAAGTCACAAGCACATTAAGTCATTAACAATTCAACAAACTATCAAACAATCAAAGCACCAAATGAATTAAGTCGTTAACAATTTAAGTCACAAGTACTTGTGTTGGTTGCGGTGCTTGTGACTGCCATTGGGATGGAGCACTTGTACCCGCAGTTGAAGAAGCTTTAGGCCCAATGCCTCTCACATGCCCCCTTCGTGTAACCAACACCTTCTCAAATATTGCGATCCAATCAATAGTGTCTGGATCACCACCAGAGTCGGCTATATGATGAGTCTGTAGAGCAACCTCAGCAACTAAGACATTTTGTAATTCACAAAGATTGTTAATATACTTTAAAACTAACACAAAAAAAACCAACAATCTACTACGATAATTTGAAGTAATAATAACTTACATATTGGTCTTCAACCAAAGGATCAACAAATTCTCCTTTTTTATTCACATGCGCACGATGAAATACTTCAGTCTATTCAAATTCTGTTTAACGTTACAAAATATGTTATATTTGAATAAACATTAAAAAATATGGTATAACTGAATAAGCATTATTGTAACTTACTTTCTTGAAACAAGCACTACCATAGCTGCACGTCCCTCCACGATTCTTCACTACTTGCTTCTTCCGGCATTCTTTGTTTCCAGCGGATCGTTTTTGATGTTTTTCTGTTAAGAAATGGTCAATAGTAGCATTCCAACACTGCCGATCCATACCCGTAGGGGCTTGAGCCCTTGCTGCCTCCACATCCCCTGCAAAATCAACCAAACGATTTTTTGCAATATTTTTGCGGCCTCTATACCGCGCACATATCCGATTGTTCAGTGACGCCCAATAAGTTGGAGCCATGGGATGATTTGTAATCGCTCCAAAATCAAACCATGTCTACAAAAAAGAAATAGAGAAGTTAAAAATAAATCAAATTAAACAATATTAAATATATAACTTTATAAATAATTTACCGAAAGATATTGGAACATGCCAACCCTTTCGGCTTCAGAAACATCAGTCCATGTGTCCTTATCAAAACCGATGTCCCGCCACATATAGCTCCCAACCTCCCGAATGAAACATTCATACACCTCCCCAGTCGGCATGTTAGTATTTATGTCGAATACTATCTTCAGAGGCCGTTCACCATTAGCTTTAAATAGTTTGTGCATTTTTTTATTTACCGCCATGCCTCTTCGTCTCGGAGGTACCACTGCATAAAAAAATATTAGTCAAAATAATTTTTTATATACAAACAATATGAAATACAATGAATTAGAATAAATCTTAATTACCATCGTTCTGGTGATCACCAAAACCTCCACCGAACGGATGTGGTGGCTCGTCACCACCGTCGCCTCCTTGACCCATAACAGCAGCCATGAGATGGAGCAATGCAATCCAAAAAAATGACATCCTGAAAAATTATAACACAATATGAATATATATACATATAATATGATATGATTACAAGAAATACAAACTTTATTTTACTAGTCAAATGTAAAGATTTTTTTAATCATTCTCGCCCCCAGACACTTCAGTGTCTGCTGACACATCACTATCATAATCAGAATCTTCCTCATCATAATCAGTCTCGCAATCAGACACATTATTGATGATACTCGTTGGTGGGTCAACTTCAATATCATCTTCAACCGATTGAGAATTTTGAAAGTACTGGCTAAAGTCGATTGAGAGAGTGAAATTAGAAGAAACATTACTAAGAACGAGATTGGTTGAATCATTGTCGACATTTTCAATGGGATCATGGTTGACATCGTTCATCGGTAGATCCCAAATTCTTCTATGATTAACATTTTCAACAACCCACCGTTGGTTGTAATTTTTGTCACTTCGAGAAGGTTCTTGGATGTAAAATACTTGCTCGGCCTGCGTAGCAAATATGAGTTGATCTTCGCTGCTCAATTCGCGTTGTGGGTCGATACTGGTGAAATTATTATCAGATTTAACTCCTGCAGTATCGAACCACTTGCAACGAAAAAGTACGGTGGAATATTTATGAGGATAATGCAACTCGATAATCTCTTCTAGCTGACCATAATATTTCTCCTTATTCTCTCCCTCAGTTAGAACCCCCGAGTTTTGTGTTGATCGTTGGGCGTCACACATAAGTACCATAAACCTAACACCATTCACTATGCAAGCAGTATAAGTAAAGGCGTTCGCATGCGCACCAATTGAAAGAGCCGATAACTCCTTGTTATACTCTGGAGATTTTTGTTTTTGCATATTATAGACCTTATGAAGGAACCATTTAGGGAATTCGGTTTTTTCATCACTTTCAGGATGTAATGATTTGAATTCACTACATTGATGAAAAATATATATATTTAGTAAAAAAAGAGAAATTAAAAATAGAAAATGAATTAAAAGATAAGAACACTTACACAATATACTTTCTGACTTCCTCACAACTATCAAGCACAAACCAATGTAGACGTTTTCTTTCCTCTAGACTGAGATTTTTCATTTTCTTTGCGCTATCCGGTCGACACTTCGACTGAAACACCCATAATTTTGTTTCTTCTATGACAACATCCTCGTTTCTTTCGATGCGATTGAATCAAGTCTCGACATCTTCAAGGTACATCGAACAAAATGATAATGCCTCTTCAGCGACATAACCCTCAGTTATAGAACCTTCCGGCCTCGCCTTGTTTCTGACATAGTTTTTTAGTTTTTTCATATACCTTTCGAAAGGATACATCCATCTCATACATACTGGGCCTCCACAAATAGCTTCATCAGGTAAATGCAAAACTAAATGAACCATAATGTCAAAAAACACAGGAGGATAGATCACTTCTAATTTGCATAATATTTTAATAATGGCTGCTTTTGCTTCTTTCATATCCTTCACCAATAGTGTTCTTGAGCAAAGTTGCTTAAAAAACATACAAATCTTTACTATTGGTGTATAAACACCTTTGCCCAAAAGCCCTTTAACTCCAATGGGTATCAAACGTTTCATAAGAATGTGTTAATCATGAGATTTCAACCCAATAATGTTAGTATTGGTTTCATTCACTTTCTTACTGATGTTAGATCCAAACCCATCAGGCACTTTCACATCTCTTATAAACTGAAAAAAACGAATGCGGTCAGGTTTCGTGAATGAGTAAGGTGGGTGAGGTTTAAGGAACTTGTTGCCACTCTTTTTCAACCATTGACTTTTCCGAATGTTTAGTTTTGTCAAGTCCGCCCGAGCATTTGATGTGTCTTTAGACTTATCATTCATCAGAGAAGTACCCAAAAGACTCTCACCCACATTTTTTTCAATATGCATAAGATCGAAGTTGTGCTTCAGCTCAAGAGAAGACCAATACTCAAGTTCAAAGAATATGCTCTTTTTAGACCAATTCAACTCGAACTCCTCACGATTCCTCTTAATACCAGCTTGTTGAGCAGCTACTTTACCCGGTGGACGAAACAATAGACGAGCGTGTTGCGCTTGTATTTCTTCCTCACTAAACTGTCTTGGAGGGCCTCTTATCTCATGTTCACCATTATAGTCAAAACTTTTTCTCCATGGATGATCAACATCTAAGAACCAGCGATAACTAACATATACAACTTTATTTGATACTCGGTATGACGGAGTGTCTTCGTTGCAAGTCGGACAAGCTTTGTACCCTTGACCGCTCCAACCGGATAAACTACTACGAGCTGGAAAGTCGTTTATTGTCCATAACAACATCACTTTCATATTAAAGAATGTATCTGTCGCTACGTCTTTAGTACGTATACCAAAACTCAATAACTGCTTCAACTCATCCACTAACGGCCTAAGGAACACATCCAAGTCCTTCCCGGGTGCTTTGGGGCCGGGAATCAACAAGGCCAACATGAAGGACGACTCTTTCATGCATAGCCATGGTGGAAGATTGTAAGTGGTGAGTATGACAGGCCACGTGCTATGAGGATTACACATGTTACCAAACGGATTAAAACCATCAGCAGCAAAAAATATTCACACATACGTATACCTTTTTTTCATACATATTTGCATATACATTTTACATATACATTAATAGATTTCATCTAATTTCACATAGGGGTGAGCAAACCCAAACCAAGAAACCGAAAAACCGACAAAACCGAAACCGAAAAAACCGAAACCGAAGCAAAACCGACGGTTAGGGTTTAAATTTTTTAAAAACCAAAAAATCGGGTTCGGTTTCGGTTTTTACATAGAAACCGACCCATTGTACCCGTAAAACCGACCCATATCTAAACCCATAAAACTGACCCACTAAACCCATAAAACCGAACCATGTACATATTAAAAAAAACACAATATTTAATATATCAACCCTAAATGTCGCGTAATCTGTAAATCCTCAGTTCTCATTTTCTCACTTAGCGACGTTGCTCATCTCCCCTCCCCCGATCGAAGCCGACGACGCAAGTACACTCCAGCAGGAGCTCCGACGAGCTCAACCCCGTTCCCAAACCGTCGGCGCCACCCTTCCAAGTTCCAAAGCTGCTAGCCCGCTACGCCTCCGACGATTCCTTCTTGCTTCTCAGGTTCGTTTTCAAAATTCTCCCTTCTAGCTTTTCAGTTTCTCACTTCTTGGTTGCAATTGCCAATTTGTGCGTTGCTTTGCTGCTATTAGATTACATGTTCATCCCCAAACAGCCAAGTGTTGATGTTGCTTTGCTGAAATATTTGTTCAATTTATGAAATTAGTACATGATTTTGGAATGGCAGGAAACTGCCGAGTGCTCTACAGCGACCTAAACATAATTTTTTTGATTATGAAATTATTACACCGATTTTGGCTGTTTGATTATGGATTCTGTCATTTTGATGTTGAAATATTGTTCCTGTATCACCTAAAAACCTAATTTTTTTGGTAATGCTAGAAACTGTTGTTGTAATTATATATGTTTATAATTAATAAAGTACATACTATTGTTTTTTGTTTGTAGAGGAATTGGGGTGTGGTCAAGGGAGTTGAATGGATGAGGATTTTACTTGAATTTTAAAGGTTTATAACTCAATAATTATAATTTTATACTTTTACAAAAGTTTATTACTCAATAATCATTGATCAATACTAATGTTTTTTTGTTTGTAGATGAATGGGAAATTGGTGAAGAGATTTACATGGATGTTGATTGAAGATTCGTGTTTGCGTGTTTTGGTTGTAATCGACTATTTGACTATTTCGGACTTTGTGTTTTAGTTTGATTGTGTGTTTGGTTGTAATCGTCTAATCGATAATTTCGGACTTTGTGTTTTAGTTTGATTGTGTGTTTGGTTGTAATAGACAATTTGGTTGTAAAGCTCATGTTTTTTGAAGTATTTAACTTCAATTAGGTGTTTTTTGAATTATTTAACTTATTGCTCCATTTTTGGAAAATGGGTTTAAACCCAAAAACCATGGGTTTAAACCCAAAAACCGTAAGTGTGTGGGTTGAACCCAAGAAACCGGCTAAACCGATATCAGAACCCGAGAAACCAAACTGACCAGAAACCGATCCTATTGGGTTCTGAAAATAAGAAAACGATCATTTACGGGTTGGGTTGGGTTGGGGTCCAAAACCGACCTAAACCAACCCATGCACAGCCTTAATTTCACATACCAAAAAATATGCAAATTTCACATAACAAAATATATACATTTCACATATATTATCAACAGAAAAAAAAAAGTGGAACCTGCTGCTGCCGGTAAACGGAAAGTCGCCGGAAAAACGAAAGTCGCCGGAATTATCCTCTAGCCGCCAGAAATTGTGAGAGCACCACCGGAGTTACTTAAAATCACAAAAAAAATTGAAACTAAGGTTAAATATAGGTGAGAAAACAAGAGAAATATAAAAGGGAAGAGCAAAACACACCTTACCGGCGTTTTAATCTCGCCGGAGAATTTAGATTTCGCCGGAAATGGCCGGAATCTGCCGGAAATTCACGGGAAATGAAAGCCTAGAAGGAGAGGTGGTTTGTGGTGGTGAAGTACGCCGGAAATTGACGTAATTTCGCAGAACAATTCTATGGTCGCCGGAGTTTGCGAGGGAGGGGTATGTTGGCCAGCGAAACTGAGTCGTCTGGACGAAGGGGGTAGTCAAATGGACGATCCCTTTAGCGGCGACCCTGAATCAATTGCGGCGACAAGTTGGAGGGAAAAACACACGCCATTCTCTGGATCCTGGTAGCCGTTCGATCTAAAAACAATTCAAGGGTCACGATAAAATGCACGCGGATCGCTATCAATAGCGGCGACGCGTCGTCGCTATTGGTGTCGCCGCTATTGCGTCCAACCAGATGAAACCCTAGCCGATGGATCACTATAGCAACCTACGGTCACGATTAAATGGCGTGTGGCACAACAAGATCGCCGGTGGAAGACCTTTAG